TAGCGCTCATCCCAGCGCGCCACTTAGAGGGCAGTTTCTACAGGAACCGTAATTTATTTAAACAGTAAAATAAAGGATAGCGTTTTTTTTTTTTTTTCGATTTTGCCTGTCTTTTTTTTAATGCTAAACTTCCATTATAAATATACGTACCTTCCGTCATACTTTCGTAGTGTTGTCTTTTCCCCAGAGCGCAATCGCTCTCGGGGACCGGCAGTCACATTGGCCACTGTACGATAGGAGCTTACCGTTCAGACCAGCGTTCCAACATGACTATCCACACGTCGATCGACTGCACCTAATCCCTCAAGTGGTTTTAAACTCTTTAATGTAAAGCGGAATGTCATCCTGCGACACCCCGGCCCCTCCGATAACGGCCCGACCAGCGGCATCAATGCCCGACAGTTGACGTCATCTCATCTTGTTGTTACACCACTGATACGCGAACACACGGTCACATCGGCGATAATTCGTCTTCTGTTCACAACTCACAACACTGCCATCACGACGTCGCTGACACGAAGAAATACAGAACCACGTTGACGATGTTGCTGACACGCAGAAGAATCACGTTGAACGCCGGTTGGCACTCGGCACGGGACAACGGAACCGAACTCAGCACGGAAGGCACCCAGGCAGCCGGCAGGAAAACCTGCCTTCCTTGGACGCAGTTCTCGCGATTTCCATAACGTCGAAAACGTCGACACAGTTCCTCGTGGTTTCGCTGCTGTAGTTCCGCGCAGTTCCGCGTGTGTCCCGCAAATTGGAGACGGCCGTCTTACCCAGTGTATGTAGCGCTGCTGGCACTGCTCCGGAACTTCGCTGTTTCTAGCGGCTTCGTTAGCTCGTTTGATAAAATTAGTGGTACAAACGTCAATGCAACCGAAATGTTCTGCACGTTTGGACTAGAAGACGGAATTACAGGCGGCCTTCGCTGCCGCTGAAGCTCAATCAACTCAACATTAATTTATTAAACAACGTGCTCGAAAAACGAAACCGAAAGAAGATGGGTCGGGAGGGCGAAAGCTTTCTCCGGTCTGCCTGGAGGAGGAAAACGTCTCGGAGAATAATAAGGACTTTAATTTTCCTTTCATCAGTCTGGGTTTGTTTATGTGTGTTTTGGTAAACAAAAAAAAAAAACAAAAAAAACTAAAAAACTTTACAAAAAAAAAAAAAAAAAAAAAAAAACACTTTTCTGAGGATCGAACCGTTGACCACTTGGTCAGTAGCGCGATGTTCTACCCCTGCGCCAACTGAACAAGGAGCAACTCGCCCTCCTCCTTTCATCTGAACTGCCGTTCCTCCCTTCTCTGGGCAACTTGTCCGCAACAAGGAGGAACAGTCGCTTTTGCTACCTTTCTCCTCCCTTTTTTCTTAGAGTGTAGGTGCTGCGTGACGTCACAAAACGCAAAGGTTTGTCGGATGGTCGGGATAACAAGCGTTGGTCGATGATGTCCTGTATTTTGTTTCGAATTATATAGTCTCCTAGGCAGTACCCTACTGAAATACGGTTCTTTTAATGCAGTTCCCAAGCACGTGCAAAAAAAGTCACGCCTTTTAGCAGGATATTACTCGCAGACAGCCATAAGCTTCGAGCATACGTATGCCGTTTCGCGCAAACACAACTGCGACGGACGCCGATCGAACTAGGGGCGCTTGCAAAGCAAAGGATGCAGATTTCGCCTCTGAAGCGGCACTTAGGTACACGAAGCGGCATCTGGGTACACATTTCGGCGGATCCACTGGATCGGTGATGTGGCTGCGGGTCATTCACTCAGAGGCGACGTCCGCGGGTCGAAGGCAAACGGCGAACCGTTCAAATGCATGTCGGACTCGTCACTTGACTTGGACGAGCTTGGTGAGTCGTAGCTACGCTCCATTTTCACAAGCGGGTCAAACAGGTATCGGGCTGCACGCGTGATAAATACAACTTCTGGTATCATTTCGAGATGGCCAAGCTGTCGGTTTCGGTTTCGCTGCATAATCAAGGTCTGTTCGATTCGGCCAGGAAGTTCTGAACTATAGTCGGTTACAAGTCAAGAAGGTAGCGGCAAATGCCCCTTAAAGGGAATCTTTGCATTTCGACGATAGGTTCGCGACATCAGGATGATTTTGCGTCGGGAGTCACTGGCGGCAGCGCGCGGTCGGTATACCGGTCACCTCGAAGACGAAGACCTGACGATAGCGTCTTGGCCAAGACAATTATCGACCGCGACTTTGGCGTCAAGTTGAAGCGAGAATCGGCAAAAAAAATGCCGATTCTCGGTGTTTTTCTCAGGCCCGTTAGTGGGGGTCCACAGATACCAGCGGACAAAGCATGCAGTATTATGCTCAGCTACGGGGACATGCGAGTGCCAACGCACTAAATCCCAGACCTCTAATGTATCGGAGTCGTCAATATATGCATCCAAGAGCAACTGAAGGCGGAGACTATCAAGAGGGCAATACCTTTCCCGTGTCTGTAAGTAAGAATATCAACACTGTGGATCCCCACATAGCATCAAAAAGAAACAATATACGTGAGCCAATATGTCAACACTCACCACAGGGAGCCAAACGCTTTTAGAATATAATCAAGCAAATTCCCACCCTCGGTTAGGATCTCAATTCCGCGTCCACCGCGGGTACGTTATTATCATAAATGAGAGGAAATTGAACCTCCGTATCAGCGTTATTGTTAAAGATCGCAGACATTTGAGCAAGCGCTGCGAAAAATGGCACCGCGAGCAGAGACGAACGAGGAGTTCTGCTATCGCCGTCTGCTCTTGTCGTCTGCTTCTGCACGGACGCTGAACAGAGTCCGGAGCCGGTGCAAGATTTTGAGGAACTGGGTCTGAACTCGTTCAGAACTGGGATGAATCGAACGCGCCAGTGCAGCGGTCGTGCAACTTACAATTGAATCGAATGTACCAGTTCCTGCACTGCCGAACTAGTTCAGCCAGTTCAGGCGAATTGAACAGACCTAAATTAATTGATCCGATTTGGGCGAGGAGTGGGTGGACGTAGTTTAATATCGTTGGCACAGCATCACACCTCAGCTTACAAGCCTTCTGTCCGCTGAGAGCTCAGCTCGTAGCTTTTTTCTGTGAGATGATTGCTGCATAAGCAGGATCTCGATCTGGACGGGAACCCAGTCCCTACGCACGACGACGATTCACTTTGCTCGTCACTGCACGTCTCGCGGAAAAGTGTGGTACGTCATGTCTTGGCTCGCATGTGCTGCCCGGTGGTTGTGGCACCCAACCGCGCAACAAAAATCTCACCCAACCACGAAACAAGTCGAGCACAACAACAAAAACGAAGCACGCTGAAGCGTTCACTCGCAGGAAAACAACGAGAAAAAAATGCTCGCTTTGCAGCGTTGCCAGATTCGAAAGGTGCTTCGGCACCAAATTCTGGCCGAAATTCCACCAGATTTCACCAGTACTAAAATATCGCGTCAATTACGTATTTCCAATTCCTTCAGCGTTTTTACGCATGCACTCGCAAAGGGTAGCTTTCAGGAGGTTCACTAATATAAGGCATCGCAATAAAAAAGGAAGAAAGCAGACATGTGGCGCATTATCAACATTGTTACTTTTTAATATACTATGTTTATGAGATGTTGGTGCTGGGTAGTCCTTAGACGGAAAATTCAAATTAATGAAGGCCACCGACACGTAAGAAAGACCCCGTAATTTTGCACTTCAAGACACTCGCAGTCTAAATTAAGCATACATTCTCTGCTCAGCAGTAAGAAAAAGAAACGCATAAGAACGAAGTCGAAATACAACACCATGATAAAGTTCAGCTCATAACAGGTTTTGAAGTCAAGCTTCAAGAAAAATACTGATAAGAATGACATCTAGTCACAGAACACTTCACACAAAGTCTATTCACACTGGCACGGACTATCTCTTGACACATAAAGCACATCCATCGCTGATATCCATAAGAATATGGAACATAAACATATAGGTTACATAAATACACTAACAAAAGGCTAACAAAACGGTGTAAAATTGATTAATGCAAGTGACAAGCCATTTCTCAAAATTTTTCACCAGTTTTCACCAGATATTGTCTGGTGTAGCCGTTCCGGTACATCAACACCAGTAGCCCCCCAATTTCACCAGATTTTCCAAATCTGGTGCCGGATTTCACCATCTGGCAACGCTGTCGCTTTGTGTTTTGTGATGTCAGAGCTTCAATGTTGCCAACGAAAGCAGCGTTTACGCTAGAATGCGATATGAACAGTATAAATTCAATTACTCGCGCAGAGGGGCATATAAAATTTGGATATTGCACGTACGATGCTTCTCGAGGCAATAACAATGATATTCAATTGTTTTCTCGAATACAAAATTTGACCGGACAATCCCTTTAAACATGGGGGAACAGCGTTAATTTAGTTTTCTTTCGCTATCATTGCTCTGAAAGCTGGAAAGATTATACACGAGCTGGTTTATGTTGAAAACTTTTAGCTCCAGGTATTCTATCTCAGCTCTGCTTTATTCCTTTATTATTTTTTGTTCGATTTGACCCTGTGTTTAAGTTATTGATCCTTTCTTCCGAACTAAAATACCGACACGAAGCAAAAATGAAACCACTTCCGTCGTAAACATGTTCGGAACCTTGTCTATGTCCCGTACAAAATAATAATAAATAATGCGGCACGGCTCATAACGTCTCCTAAACGAAAGAGGGATCATAAATGACCTTGTGGATGAACACGCATGAACATCGATCAACCCAAAATACGTCAGTCTCCGTCGTTGACAAGATAAACCGAACGAGTACATGGATGTTCTCTTGTGGTCGGAGATCATGACATCGTGGCTCCAGAAGGACGCATTATACAGATACTCAGTTTTAGGCTTTCCGCATAACTTGGCAAAGAGCGAAAGCAACGGTTCCCGCGAGTCCATTAAAGTCACTCAATGAATCACGTGACAGCTTTCCACAGGAGCGCACTCTAGAGGTACGCTATGAAGCGCCTTCCTCTGCCGAGGTCTTGGGGCAGCAGCAGGCAGTTGTGTCGCGGAGGGTCAGTCGAGCTTCACAGGGACATGGAGAAACGCTCGGCTTGGTCACTGGCGTGTAGCGTCCTGCTGGGCGTACTTTGCACCGTGGGTTTTTTCTACCAGGCCAACTCTGTGATGCAGACGTACCTGGACCACCCGTACCAATCGGTGATGACCGCAGACAAGCGCCAGGGTCTCGTTTTTCCCTCAGTCACCATCTGTACTGGCAGCTGGTGAGTCTTTTCTAATGTCGCTCTTCGTCCCCGATTGGTTCATGTGGTTATAGTTGAGCTTTGAGCGTATCCAAAACCTACACCTGAGACGTATCGTAGAGAAAGACGGACATTGACCATGCACCAGCGTGACTTTGCCGTCCAATCGTTCGGCTTTTTTAAAATTTGTTTTAGTTAATTTGCATTGCAGATTATATGATTCAGTCAGGAGGCGAAAACGCATCTTTGAATACACCCAGTAAAGTATAAGCCTAAAAAACCGATATATTATTAAAAAGAATCGAAACAAAACATTTGAGTGGTTGATCAACTTTATAATACTAGCAATATAAGTAAAACACTTTGCAAAATAAGCTCGCTAAGTTCTCAAGTAACCAAGTAACCACAAAAAAAAAAAAGAGTCAACCATAAACACCAAAGCGTATTGTACTGCATATGTACAATTATATGCCATTCATATTTTTGCATACATAATTCTTTCTATACATTGAAGTTAAGTGATAGAAAACAAAATTCAGTGATCTATTCTAGGATATCGCTCGAACAATATGTGCGCTGGAATTTTATTATGGTCACAAAGGGATGGGGCTGGCTCAGGGCTGGACTTCGCGGTGGAACAAACACGTCACACAAAACACTATTTTCAGCATCAATTTGTAACCGAATGCGACCAGATATTTCTTCCGACAAAATGTTGGGTTTCCTAGTATTCGCTCAATACCCCGATTTTCATTTCCAGCAGTGCCAAAGGTATGAATTCAGATATTCTTGAGACGTATTTTTGTTCGAATCAGTTTCCAGAGCAATGATTTCTTTCTTCTATTTCGCACTTTTTTAGGATAAACAAGAATTCGAGCGGCTGTAGGGAAAACCCACGACTGTGTACAAAATATCAACAGGTAAGCAATATGTTGGGGAAAGTATAAATCATTTTGCTTTTTTTAAATTATATTAATTGTTTCTATACTGAAGTGCGCTGAGTACGCTTTTTGTTATATGTATTTGGTTTAGAATAATCAACCTATATTTGATTACGCTGCTAAAATAATTTCATTATTCGGAATACCGAGTAATCAATTTCTAAGAATTGATATTACTCTCGTAGAGGTTATTTCATTTATCTCGATTAATAAAATTGCAAAAATAGCACATGGCTTCGAATCCGGCAATTCATACACGTTTTGGATACAGAACACAATCGTAGGCAAACCCACCTTTCAATAATTCTGGAAAGGGCTGCTTTAGAATAACTTAATAGCTTTGTGTTATATGTTAAGTGAGTTTTCTATATTCGTTTCTGTAGAAGCAAGCTCAGTTTAACGAAATCAATATCTTTTAAACACCTTTTTTTTATAACCTTTAAGTAGAAGAGCTTTTCTAGTCGCTGTAAAATTAGGTTTTATATATTAAGTTATACATAAGGGGTAATCTTGAAATGGTTCGTTTCTGTAAAATGGGGACACAAAATCTCTAAAGTTTCAACTGTCGGGATGAGGGGAACAAAAAAAAGAAAGCAGCAACACGAAGAGGCAGCTGATACCCCAACTTTGCTTATGCTGTGTAAAAAAAAAAAAAAAAAAAAAAAAAGCGCAGGGACAGCAGAATATTACACGCGACATCACAGAGGGATATTAGCACATGTCAGCCCACTCTGAACTATGTAGGTTTTTCTTAGCAAACAAACATGTTCATAGGATACCACTGTTTCCGAAAAATGCGCAGGACATAAGTTTCCTCGCCTCGTTGGCACCACGACGACAAGATTCAAACGACTATAATGCGCAGAAATCGGCTTCAATCGAACCCCGTGCACGGTACGCATGCAGCTGACGACACGCCACTGCGGTGGCGTTGCTGACTGCACTGCGCATGCGTAGTGGCGTCGCCTCACGCGAATGTGGTTTCTGCGCACGCCCAATGCTCCCACCCGGTGTGGCCAGACGCGGGGTTGTTTGGTAAACGCTATCGTTTGCTAGTATGGCCTATGGGTGCCGCCATCTTGCTGCTGGTGCGGGTAGATCGTCTGATAGCCAAGCATCGCTGAGGCGTACCACAGCCTCAGCGATGCTTGGCTATCAGACGTTCTATCCTCACCGGCAGCAAGATGGCGGCGCCCATAGGCCATACTTGCAAACGTCGCGTTGACTAACAAACCAGGGCGCCTTTAGCGGACACCACCGGCGCCGCGCATGCGCGATGGAGTGTCGGCAAGAAGCTCGCCGTCGCCCATAAACAAACCATTGAAATGCGACGTTGTCGGCGTTGGAGTCCCCGTGCTCTTTTTCGCGTTGGAATTGTTTATTCTACGTCTTTCAAACAATGTATGACTACTTTAGTGACCTCAGCGAAATTAACGAGGCTCGTTACACCGCGAAACTTTGCGTGAACAAAGTGTCATGCGGCGATTCATGGACATGTGTCACGCGGCGATTCATGGAGATTCGTGGACACCGCAGAATGGACCGTAGCTAAGATGTCGACGTCGACACTGAGAACCGCAAGCAGAATCGGACAAAGTAGATCAGGCATAACAAGTCGGTGATGGCCACTGGTAACACTTATCAACATCTCCTTGTATCTACTGTTTACACCGAGGCTATTTAACCCAACCAACCTTCAAACTTAGAAGTCTTTTGAGGCCTGCACTTACTTCTTATCGCAATTATAGGGTCAACGTTTCGCCTACGGGCCGCTGTTGTTTGAACGAGCAGACAACAAGAAGAAACGTTTGAGAGAGCAGACGACAGCTCGAACGATCAGGCGGCCGTTTGAACTTGATGACGCAGCGTAGTCCGCAGGTGGTCTGTAAAACTTGGCGGTTTTCCCGCGTTCATGTTGGAACAAAACAAATAATTTCGACGACCACAAGTATCCGTGAATTCAATCCATTTTGCTTCCTGCCCAAGCAATCGTAGTCGGACGGCGTCTGGTTTTCCTTTTTCACGGCCTGCTTGGTTCTCAAACGTACCGAACAGGCAGAAAACACATGAACCTTTCCCGACTCTCTTGGTACAGCCCCAGTCGCGGTGTTTTGACGAGAAGGCAGGTTTTTGACCGGTTTCTTTCAAGGTAACACAGGAGTGCATCTCACGCATGGTGACTTCCGCCCACAGCCTCAGACCGGAAGTGCGCCCGACGCGCCACCACGGCGCCGTGACATAACGACATAACCATGGACATAACAGAGCCGAGTTCGTGTATACGTCTGATCGCGTGCATTCGTGTTTTTTCAAGGAAATGGTTTTCGGAGTGTTCCGGGCCCAGTACGAGCCAGCTTTGCGGTGGAAGATATCCCACGCACCGCACGAGTTGTTCGAGTGCCGCATGCGATCTACCACTCCCACGTGTGGGTCCTTCGACTGCAGAAAACAGTGAGTGGCACGCGCAAATCCGCGGTCCTTTGCTGGACAGGAAGAATCGGCCTCGCACTGTGTGACCGTGCGATTTACGATGCAAAAAGTTGGGTTGTGTGTATGTTTATACAGCCTAGAACTTGGTCTGCCTCAACGGGCGAAGAGTCTCCCAGCTGTAGATGAGCAATTTAGCCAGTGCAGTACAACCGCTAGCCTGGGGTCTTTAACGTGCATCACGCAGTAGTGATACACGACCGCACGCCGGTACGATGCTCACCAAGATATTTACGATGCAAGTGTTGATCGTGACTGTTTTGAGCGCGTGTTTGTACACTCGTGTTCGAAACTAAATTCAAAATACAAATAAATGTCTTCCGTAATTGAGTATTTTCTTTTTCGCCGGAAAGCATGTTTCGAATTCTACAAAAAACATAGTACGTGAAAAAAAAAAAAAAAAAAAATCGCTTTCAGGAATGTTTCGGGCATAGAATTTGAAAGCGTAAGTGCAAGGTCCGGTTTCGAGATACACAATTTTTGTTTTCGTTTTTCCAGTGCTACGTGGGGTTTAAAAATCCAAAGCGAAATACAAATATCACATGAGGATCATATTCTCATGATCTTTCCTTCAATAAATCTGTTTGCTCCAGTACAAAACGTTTTCAATGACATCAATAAATATAAGTAATCAAACCAGAAAAGAAAGTAGACGAAGAGATAAACAGCCCATATGTGGTTTGATTTTCATAGCATGACACGTGGCAGTTAATTTGATTTTTTTTTATGTCCAAATTTTGTTCTTTAAAAGTTAGGCCTTCACAGCGCGATTGCGCCTTGCAATATGTAGTTTTTTTTTAATTAAAATTAGATTTTAGTTTTAATTATAACGCGGCGAAATACGAACCCGACACACGGTGTTCGTCTGAATGTGAGGCAAACACCTCTAATTTCTTCGTAGCAAAACTAAAAAAAAAAAAAAGCATTACCAGTATTATTGTTTTTCGCATGTGTGTCTTTTTGCGCGTGTGCCACGTGATGCGGTGTTATGCCGTCACAGTTGCAGCAAAAATGCTTACAATTCTCAACTCGATCGTCATTACATTTAAGTCTCAAAGGACTGCAGAAGAAGAGGCTTCAACCTTCAATTCCCAGAAAGAAATGACGTCAACGCATCACCCAGCACCAACGATACTAGATTAGCTCAGTTACGGAACTGCCCATAGACGATGCTTGCCCTCCCGTCGTTCCACACGCCAATGTTTTGGGGGGAAGGATGCTATGGTAACTGCTGTGTATTCTATGAACTCCGTTTGTTTCAAACGAGGTTTCGAAACCCAGCGTTCCATTAGGGTCAGAGCAGAGAGGGTAAAAGAGAAAAAAATGCACTCCCCCTCTCGCCCCACTGTCGTCCGCTCCGCCGAGTAGGCTGTAGCTAGCGTCCGGCTGGCGTGCAAACTCTGTTTAAAATCGCTTCATTTTGGAACTTTCAAGCGCAGATGCGCGGATTTTGGTATGCCAGTTATCGTGTAATACTATGATAGATAAAAAGACTCACAGGATCCAATTGCGCTGTTACCTGCGTGCAAATAAGAAACAAAAATAGGGAAAACTGTGTCAGATTGGCCGGTTTCTTTGGCGAAAAGAAAATCCGTTTGCTGTACCTTTTTTTACTATACAAAAGTTCGTACTGGTGTAGGCCTTTAGCGACCATGAGCGGAAGTCTGAAATAATAAATAAAACGTGCTCTCCTGCCGCAATACACGCAGTAGTTGAGGGTAGTACTGCCGGCTGACTAAACTGCTATTTAAGTAACGGAAAAAAGATATGCTAGTTGATCATTTAGCAAAATAGAACGACAGAGAAGAACGCGAAGCACTTCACAACGGCAGCCACGAGCGAGAGTTCAATGTTCGGTAGAGCCCGCCAATACAGCCCAAAGATGGAGAACGGCAACCTCCCGGTTTGTCGTCTGCTAGCGGAGTCGGGCGCGTGCCCTCTCTCTCGTTTTACCCCGCCGAACCCGCTGAACTTCCCGGATGTGCGGAGAGGGCGCTGCGGTCGAACAAAATGGTGCCGCCCAGAGAGCGCTAAATGGAATGGTATGACGTTTCACCGTACTCTACGGAACACAGTTTTGAGAAGAAGATTTGGATGACGCTTCAAAAGACGGGAGGCGGACTGAAGGGAATGAGGAGGGCGGGAGTTTCACAACTGAATACATCTAATAATGTTGCCCAGTACAAACTCATAAATTTGCTAATTTAAAAATAATAATAATAATCCGTCAGCGCCGTTCCTTTCTTCTTTCTTTTAAGATTGGCGCCTACAAGAACAAAGCTTCGGCTAATGCCCAATGTTCTACATTCCAATAGCGAAAGACTGCTCTCCCTTGGCAGCTGTAGATTTCCTGCACGATGGCGGACTAAAACCGCGATGCCACGGCACTCTTGATGCGTTTGGTTGGATTAAAAGGCAAAAGTAGCAACAGAAGAATAGGATGCGTGCAGTGACGTTGCACTTTCAACGCTATTGGATTGGCAATTGTCGGCTCCTTGCTTTGGCCGCGCTCCTACTATCGTTATCTTATGAAATAACTTGCACATTCTGTTGTTCCGCCATTGTGCAGTGGTTCCGACCCTCTAATAAACGCACGTGACTTTCGAAAGGGGTCTGAACCATTCCAAGAATCGCCTTTTAAACGCTATCCACTGGGCTGTCGAACGTGTTGTGCGCATGCGCACTAGCTCTATTTTGCGGAATATTAGACACATGCGTTCGCAACCTAGTGGCTGCATTTTTCTCCCGGGTGATAAGCGATCCGGTGGGTGCATAGATGACAACCTTTTGCGCACCCCAACCAAGTGTTTGGTTTTATATCGCGGTAAGCACAGCGGCACTGTGTCCCGCTAAAGTCCCTTGATACTTCTTTCACAAGTAACGACAACCAATAAAAATGGCAAAGCACATTCCACTGGAACAAAATGGCGGCATTCAGTTCAAACCTCTTCTGTGCGCCGCCATTCGCTTCCTAAATCCTGCACCGTCACGCTGTCGGCGCTTCAAAGAATGTCGCTACTTGTAGGGAGCTCTGATCTAGGGACCTTACGCCCTGCTGTGCATGCTGCGGTATACATTTAGACACTAAAATATGCACGTCATTCCTATGCCACATAGTGACGAATAGATCAAGCAACATTGGGCGGTCGTTATCTTTTGGGCACCGCTTCGTGCGCGAACCGTGTGCTCAGCTCCAAGTCCACGCCGAACACTGGCGCAGCACTCGTATGCAAGACGTGCTCAAATTGTATGGCCCAACAAAGGCGGACTCCGATAATTGACGCAGCCGCTACTAGATAACGAAGCACTTTAAAAAAAAAAAAAGTCGTTACGGCTATTGGAAGTAAGCACTTCCCTCTCTTTGACTCATCACCGTCGGTTCGTCGTTTGCAGCATTAGGATCACATATCTGAGGCTGCCCATCCAGCTCTGCTACACTCTGGACAGCACCCGCTACGGCGCTCCGGAGACCGAGTTGGGAAAGTGCGACACTCCGTGGCTGTACGGTGAGACCCTGATCACACGCAGTCCCCCTTCGGAAGGGTAATGGTCTAGAAGCCTGGCCACCGATCAGGGTGCCGAGTCTTGTCTAGAATTGCCGAGTCTATATATTGCCACGAATGACAATGGATGAGGCGATGAAAACTGAAGCAAACTAAACATTTAATGGGGCGAACTTCTGCCCAAAACAAAATAGAAAAATGTTAGCGTCGCAGGCGGCAAAACAGCAGAATCGAACGATGGGGCGAGACTGCGGATCGCCACGCGGAGCCCCTCACGTACACGCGTTGGCTTCTGGAACAATCGGCCTAGAAGGTCCAGCGACTAGAACATTCGGACCTCGAACAAGCAACAGAGTTCTCGAATTTACGGGAACATAGAACTGAAAGAATAGATAAAAGACGCGTAACTCCCAGGATTCGAACCCTGGGCCTCCGCAAGAAAGTCAAGCGCGGTATTCACTCGGCCACGCACGCGATCGCTTGCCGACCCGCGTGGCAATATCTTGCAAACATGGGGTTAGATATCTAGTTTGTCAGATGGTTCGAAACCATTATCGAAGAAATCGGGCCTGAAAGCTATGTAAGACGCTATTATTTATATCGAAGGTGTGGGCAGTGGTGCATCTGCTTTATAAAACTACCGAAGAAAAAAAAAAAAAAAAAAAGAGAAAAAAAAACTTGCCTTACCAAAAATTTACAAATAGACAGCCAATAGTATTTTATGAATTCATTGAAGTTATTAGGCATTTCTAAAGTCGAAGGGAAAAGCAGGAACTTTGTATCTTCATCTGGCGCGGCACCTGCGCGGTAAATTATTGCGGTTTCGGAATTTATCAGAGGTGCGCGAATATCAAAATTTTGATTGCGAATGGAATACTAATACTATTAAAACTGGACTGAGAATCAAATTTGAATATTTTAGGTGCTAATATTTTACATTTCATAGAAATTGAGCGTGGAAACTTAAAAAAAAAAAGAAGGAAGTCGTGGCTGGAAATTTCTTCTAGGAAAGCGTACCTATGAAAAGAAAAAGTTGTGTTAAATGAAAAACATTTCACATACATGCATTCAAAAAAAAAAGAAAAAAGAAAAGGTCTGGATGAGATGAGATAGGTAAACCTAATGTAGCATATGGCAAGCAAAGCCACGACTCCCTCATTTATTTAAATGTAGCTTGAGAAGTTTCGTTTCTTCGCCACTGTTGTAAATCGGGGGTCGAACAATGATTATAACCAAAGAAGGGTGATCCACAGTGGTGAGCAAAATTTCTGATGCCATCGAACTAACCGAGATTGGTGTCGCGGAGTTGAGTGACACGCAGACGCATCGGATTCCAGTCGGCAAGTGAAGTGCTTTATTCGAGCCGCCGATTATATAGACTCGAACGGAGGAGCGACAGAGTGAGGGGGCGCCCCTTGCGACCTCTACATCTCCCCTTCAGGGAAAAAGACACAAACTTGTTGTCTTTATAAATTAAGTCTCTCGGGCGTCTTGATGCGTCGCCCGAAGCGGGAAACTCTGCCCTGTTGCTGAGGGAACACTGGTGACTGCGGAGGGGGCACCGACGCTGTGCCCAGCACTGGGGATTCCGCCAGAGACCGCGGAGACCCAGTGGAGCGTTGTAGGGGTTGCAGAGGCGGCGAAGGTAGAATCGATGCAGCTGGAGTGTCGGAGACCGGCGAACTAGCAGACTCCACTGCAGGCTGAGATGGTGTAAATGGAACCAGATGACGACGGTTCCGCTCAAGTATGCCTGTGGGCGTCTGCACAACGTACGAGCGAGGTCGTCTTGCTGGCCCCAAGACACGCGCAGCTCCAGGTACATCTGCAAGCCAAACATCTTCGCCCGGAGACAGCGGACGAAGTGGACGAGCGGCGTGGCGCCTGTTGTAGTCCTGTGCCTGTCGGCGTCGTGCACACGAGTCTCGCTGGTGGAAGAGAGTCCTTGGAGGCGTTCGAGGGATCAGGGCCTCCTCAAGCTTCGGCACCGTGGTCTGCAGTCTTCTCCCCATCAAGAGTTGCGCTGGGCTCCATCCACTTACTCCCGGGGTGTCGCGATAGACGAGCAGGGCCAGGTAGGGATCCTTCGTCTTGGCCAGCAGGTCCTTCACTGTCCGCACCATGCGTTCAGCCTCTCCGTTGGCCTGCGGGTACCGGGGGCTGCTGGTTACGTGATGGAAGCCGTAACAAGCAGCGAAGGAGGCGAAGTCCCTTGAGGAGAACTGTGGCCCATTGTCGGAGACGACCACTGTGGGAATGCCAAAGCGGGCAAAAATGCTCTTCATTGCTGCAATAACAGCCGAGGATGATGTCGATGATAGGGTAATCACCTCCGGGTAGCGCGAATAGTAATCTACCGTGAGGAGGTAGTGACGTCCACCTACTTCAAACAAATCAGCCCCCACCCGAAACCAGGGCCTGCTCGGAGTCTGGGAACCCATGAGTGGCTCGTGGCGCTGTACCCGAGTCTGAGCGCAGGTCTCACAGCCGGCCACCAGCTGTTCCAGTTCAGAGTTCAGTGTCGGCCACCACACGGACTCGCGCGCCCGTGCCTTGCAACGGCCAATCCCCTGGTGGCCCTCGTGCAGTCTGGTCAGCATGTCACGTCGGAGCACCGCAGGAACCAGGATCCGGTTGTTGTAGAGCAGCAGCCCCTCACAGACTGTGATGTTGCTCCTCGTGCTCCAGAAGCAACGTAGATGGGCAGGAACTTGCGACGCTCGCCGCGGCCACCCACGTTCGCAGAGACGAGCCAGATCCATGCAGGTTCCGTCTTCCTCCTGGTGTTTGCGCAGTTGCTCAAGACCCGGAGCAGTAAGGTCTTGCCACCCCTTCACGATGTTGTTTACGAAGCGCTCTACATCGAGGGAGTCGACTTCCAGACTGGCAACCTGCGTAGTAGCTGGAGCCCGGGAGAGGGTATCGGCGGTGGCGATAAGCTTCCCAGGGACGTAGAGCACCCGGAACTGGAAGCGAAGGAGCCTCATCCGCAGCCGTTGAATTCTTGGAGGGACGAGGTCTAACTCGGCATTGCCCAGAAGTGTGACGAGAGGCCTGTGATCAGTCTGGACGTCGAACTGGATACCCCGCACAAACTGTTCGAATCGTTCAACTGCCCATGCCACGGCGAGTGCCTCCTTTTCGGTTTGGCTGTATCTGGACTCCGTCGGAGTTAGTGAACGACTTGCAAATGCCACTGCACGATGCTCTCCGGAAGGTTGCTGCTGCAGGAGAACTGCTCCGAGGCCGTAGGAGCTGGCGTCGGCGGACACAGTCGTGGGGTAGGTAGGGTCGTACCGGGCCATGCAGGCGGTTGAGCTGAGCAGCCCTTTCAGTTTCTGGAACGCTTGCTGCTGTGCAGGACCCCAAACCCATGTACTGGACTTCTGAAGAAGAGCCCGGAGGGGTGCTGTCGTGTCCGACAAGTGGGGAAGAAAACGTCCCAAGTGATTGGCCATCCCCAGCAGTCGTCGCACTCCACTGACGTCTGAGGGAGCCTCGAGATCTGCGAGCGCTTTGATCTTCTCCGGATCAGGACTGATGCCTCTGTCGCTGACCATGACGCCCAGGAACTTGACTTCACGCGCCGAAAAGACGCACTTGGAGCGGTTGAGCTTGACCCCGGCTGCCTGTAGACGCTGCAAGACGTTGTTCAGGCGACGGTCGTGCTCAGCCTGAGTGCTGCCGAAGACCAATATGTCGTCGATCATGTTTACCACACCCTCGAGGCCTTCCAGGACACGGCTCATCTGTCGCTGGAAGTATTCCGGCGCCGAGCAGATGCCGAAGGGGAGGCGTCGGAAGCAGAACCGCCCGAAAGGGGTGATGAACGTAGTCGGTTCTTGGCAGCTTTCTGCAAGCTTCACCTGATGAAAGCTCGCCGTTGAGTCGAGTTTGGAGAAGACCTGGGCTTGTCCAAGTTGTCCCAGGGTGTGCTCGACGGAGGGGAGGATGTGTCGCTCTCGTAGGACGACCTGGTTGAGGCGGGTCAGGTCGACGCAAATTCGGTAGTCGCCAGACTGCTTCGCAACGACGACGACGCCGGAGCACCACTCTGTGGGGCCGTCAACGCGGCGAATGACCCCGTCGGCTTCAAGCTTCGCAAGTTCGCGCCGGACAGCGTCATGGAGTGGAAGGGGAACCCTTCTCGGCGTGCTCAACGAAAAGGGTCGTGTCCCGGGTTGGAGACGGATGACGTACTCCTCTCGCAGTTCGCCCAACCCGTCGAAGATGTCTCGGGAAAGAGGCGTGCGCTGCTGTGGCCCTTCAGAGCTTGTGACAGCATCTGCGAACCGGACGACGCCCAGGGCCTGGATTGCGGGGAACCCAAGTAATGGCGTGGTCGATGCTGGCAGCACGTATATACGCTGGACCGTGGTCGTTCCCTTCCACGTGAGAGTGGCGTCGAAAGTGCCCAAAACGGTCAACACGTGGTTTCCTGGTCCCGTGAGCTGGCCTTCTACCGGTTGAAGTTGTGGAGGGAGGCCTGGAAAAGTCTCGGGTACGGCTGTGACTTCGGCGCCGGTGTCGATCTTGAAGTTCACGGAGTGACCGTCGACGGAGACTTGCGTGAACTTGGCTAAGGGGCGCGGCGTCACCGCGTGCAGCTGAAGAGAGCCAAGTCGGTCCCGCTGTTCGCAAACGGCTGCGTAATGACCTTTCCGCTTGCAGCGGCTGCATATGGCGTCCCGTGCCGGGCAGTTCGCACGGGGGTGAGCGGTGCGGCCGCAGTAACGGCAGGGGCTGTCGCCGTCGTGCTTGTCGCGGGCCGCGTGCTTGCCAGTGCGAGTGTTCTTGCGCTGTAGGTTTTTCCCGGAGCGCTGTCGACCCTCGGAGTCGTGCTTGCGTGTCTCGGCGAGCACGTGGCCGGGAACAGACTCTGCGAAGAGCGTGTCACGTGCACGTCCGGCGTCCTCGTGGACACGAGCCTGGAGGCGGGCTTCGTCCAGCGATAGCTTGGGACTTCGGCAGAGTTTGTCGACGAGCGCCTTGTCGCGAAGCCCCACGACGAAGCGGTCCCTTACGAGTCGGTCTTCAACTGCGGTCGACGCATAACCACATTTCTTGACGAGCAACCGGAGCCCCGTGAAAAATGCGTCCACGCTTTCGCCGGGTTCTTGGATGCGACGATGAAACACGACGCTTGCGTATACCTCGTTGGTAGGATGCACGAAGTGGCGTGTGAAGGCTTCTTTGACGGCGTCGAAGGACAGTAGCGCTTCCGAAGACAGGCCGAATGTCTCAAGTACGCGCCGAGCCTCGTGGGAGCCCATGAGGTAGAGAAGAGTCCGTACCTGGACCTCGTCGGCGGCGTGGTGTAGTCCCGAAGCGAAGCGGAAGTCTTCGAAGACTGTAATCCATTGTTCCCAAGTGCTGGGGTTCGCGAAGTCGAACGGAGGCGGCGACGGGAGGGACGTGTGGGGACTGTCGAGCGGCTGTCCGCTAAGCCTTGTCTCCTGCTGCGTAGCTGGCGGAGTCATGCCGGCCGTGTCGAGCGAGCGAGGCGAGGCGAGGCGAGCGAGCGAGCGGGCGAGCGAGCGTTACGCCGCCGCTGTCGTGACCACTTCTGACACCATGTCGCGGAGTTGAGTGACACGCAGACGCATCGGATTCCAGTCGGCAAGTGAAGTGCTTTATTCGAGCCGCCGATTATATAGACTCGAACGGAGGAGCGACAGAGTGAGGGGGCGCCCCTTGCGACCTCTACAATTGGTTCTATGGTTGGTCAAACAACAACATATCAGCCGTTTCTCCTAGCACATCGGTGCAGAGCCGTGAAGCTTGACGCACTCCCGTCGTTGCAGAGCGGTGAAGCTTGATGCCAAAGCGCTGGTCACGACTGAAGGGTGACGCGAAAAATGGAGAATTCTCAAAACATTATCGTAATTTTCAGAACACACACACACGCACACGCACACACACACGCACACACACACACGCACACACACGCACACACACACACGCACACACACACACGCACACGCACACACGCACACACACGCACACACACACACGCACGCACACACACACACACGCACACACACAAAAATAGTTTGAGCAGTAAAAGTGTCTTGCTTTTCGAATCGAATAGAGAGCACTATTTGAGAGTTATTCAAAGTTTCAAATATTTGCACATCTCTATGGTCCGTTGCAACTCAAGAATGTAGGGGGAGGTTAAGACTGGCTGGGGAGGAGGAAGCAGGCGGAACGCTGGAGAGAGGAGGAGGTTTCCTCCTCTCCTCTGCAGCGTTCCGTCTGCTTCCTCCTCCCCGGCAGTCCTTTCTCTCGCCTTACCTTCTTGGGTTCCAACGGACTATATACTTATCTTATATGCTTGAAAGGGATACTGAATCGAAACTTAAAATATACAAAAAGCATGAAGAACTAGGTCAAGTAGGATGATCTAAACCTCTAATTAATAATCGCATGGTTGTGTCTAAAGGGGTATTCACACGAGGGAGAAATCCCGGGGATTTCTCCCCGGCACGCGCATTCCACGACGAAAACGTTAGGCTTTGCGATGTGCAAAAGCCTCGCGTTTTCATCTCGTGATTCTCGCGTGCCGGGGAGAAATCCCCGGGATTTCTCCCTCGTGTGAATGCCCCTTTAAGCGGATGGCTCTATTTTTCATTCTAAATGCCGGGATTCTGGCGAGCGCTTCTAAGTCAGCCATCGAGAGTGCGATGCATCTCGCCAGGCCCGGCGCGGCCTTGGCGTCATCATGTCATGCAGGGCCAAGCGTACCGTAGTAATGAGCTTTGCCACCTAGGGCGTCAAGACGTTACAATCTCGCTAGTCGGTAGTACCCGAGGACTGTAACATATCGAGGAGCCGGCGGAGCTGCCTCGTGTGTGTGATTGCCGACCAACGCGACGAGAGCGGTGGGTATGATGACATTAATGAGGACGAAGACGCCGCCACATCACCAGTGGTCATGATGGCCAAGAAGCGGTTCGGCCTACAGTCGCATTTGTATGACCCTTCTGCCTTACCTTTGTCGTCCGCAACAGGCAACAAAGCTTTTTCACGAAACAATCTTACGACAAAAAAGGTGCTTACGAAAAACCAAAGAAGAAATCTGTATTTATAAAGCGAAATTATCGTAAGTTTTGCGTAAGTTTTGTTGAAATTCTACGAAATCTCCAGAAGTGTACGCACTTTTAGAGCGCAGCTCTTAAGCGCCCGTTTCCGGCTTGAGCGGCGTCGCCGTCAGCGTTGGCGTAAGCGCGCGCGTTGCATTATGGGACGTTTCCCCGCTAACTTTAGCGGGGAAACGTCTCATAATTAATACAGCGCGCGCGGCTACGCCGACGGCAGCGCCGAAGCCGGCGGCGATGCCAATTTTTTATCAACAAAAGAACGGCAAAGCGACATTCTTTTGTTAATAAAAAAAAAAAAATGAATTCATTCAGTCATAAAGTAGGGTGCTGTTGAGTGGAACACACTTCGGTTTCTGAAGGGAGTAAAAGAGGTGTAGGAAGGAGTATTGCTAGTCGAAGAAGCGTGTTGGTTCGGGCCAAGATTGAAGAAAGAATAAACATGTAAGGCCGAAGACGACACAGTCCCATCTTGCAACTATAGCATCGGACATAAAGGGATTCCAAAAGCGAGCAACGAATTTTTTCTTCAATCTTGGTTAGGAAAAAGTGTTAGGATTTATTGCGGGAAGCGACAATGCTTTAGCGAAGGTAAATTGTTTCAACCACTACATCAAATAAATATTGCCCGTATCAAAGCTCTTTACATGGAGATATATTCCTTGAGCTTGGATATAATATGCCTAATGTGAAATATTTACAAGAAAAAAGCAGCCTTCTTGTAACCGTTGTGATTGCGGAGGCGGTCACCAGTGCCTTTGAACAGTCGAGTATAGTGTAAAGCGGCGGAGCAGTCAACGGGATGCCGGTATCGTGCGTGTTCCGTTGCGTCTTTACTGGTTGTTTCTGTTTGTGCATGTGACAACTATCTGTGGTGCGTGTTTGTCGTAAATGTTTTGCTTGAAAAAAACTCCAAAAGATGCCGAGGATTGCGAGCACCCTATTTTTATGGTACTTACCTGCTTCCTAAAGCCACGGCCACACTGCTACTATATCATACAAAAGATAGTTTTCAAACCACATTTGAAGCGTATTTCTTCCTTGGTCTAGGAGAAACTCTCTGGAGACATGTTCGAAGCACGTGTGAGCAGTCGGACTGCGGCTTAAGGGTGTTGCCTTAAGCCGCAGTCCCACTGATCTGCCCTTACTATGCTGGCTTTTGGTATTTGTTAGCTTCCCGAGACAGGCTGACTCTCACCCTTAAGGGTGTAAAATCTTTTAGTATGTGCGTCACTTACATTACACTTAAAATCACTTAAAATTTTCTGAAATTGTAAGTGACGAAATGCCGCTAGCATTCAGTATTCGTCATCACGTACTATTGTTTTTCTTCTAAGCATTTTTTTTTCATTGTTTGAAATTAATCACTTAGAGGTCTGAATTTTCGTTTAATCATTCTAACCTCCATAGCTATATATTCAAAAATTTTACTCACACATAATTTGGTAGTATTTAGGCTAACGCGAAAAACTTGGTTCGCTTTTCTTGAAATTCCTGCTGATTAGGAAACTTGTCTTGTGTTCTTGGTGCTTTTGTTCTTAATGTGTGTAATACGTTCCATCAGACTAAAAAAAAAGATTTCTCACCTTTTCTTTTTTATATATTTCTTTGATTAATGACTTTCGAATATACTTGAAAAGTCACAGGACCGCACAACATTGCATGTCGAGAAAATTACCCGTGTGAAAAGGTAATGAATCGAGTTCCATTGGTGTTAGCGTTTTCTGGATGTGCGGTGCTACCCGACACATATTTTGCGGCGTCCGTAAGGAGGTACTGAGTCCACTATGCAGTGTTCATTGAGTGGGCGCTGTAATCAAAACATGCTGAAAAGACTAAACAAAACACGAATGAAACGCGCCTCCTACAAAGGCAGGATAGAGTGAAAAAGCGCGCTCTCTTACGGCCTTCAGATGGAGGGTAGTTTGTCCCGACCACCGCAGCTCGGTAACGTTGCTGTGACCTCACCCCTCCTACAGGGGTGAGGTCAGTTAAAATGTAGCAGAGCGGACGCCGGAGAGGAGATCACCTCATCTCCAGTGTTCGCTCAGTTAAAATGGAAAGAGGTGGAGGGAGTTTCCCCTGAACTCTTAACCTGTCAGTGACTTACCTTTACAGGCCTCGAGGTCGCCTGCCTGCAGAGACCTAAGCAGAACATTTCTTCCTCCTCGTCTTTTTAATAATAAAAAAAAAGAAGAAAGGAAAAATAAATTTGCGTATATTCAATCCGTAGGCGCTCTAGGAAGGCCAAACCAAAGAAAAAACAAAGTAAAAGCGCGCCAACGCTTATTGGTTCACGTGACTATGGCATAATTGACTCTTCCGTATATCGGCTGCAACCTTTTTTATTTTTTTATTTCGTTTGATTTATTTAAGGGAAGTGTATACGTTAGATTCAATGACATTAATTGCATTTTCTCCCTCTCGCGACGCGCAGAGCTGGAAGCCAAGATGACCGTGGATCCGGCGCAAACTCTGCGGCTCATGCACACGGTGCCGTTCCCGGTGTTTGTGCAGCCGCCGGGGCACTGCGTGCCCGAGCGCGTGGCGCCCGTGGCCCTGGAGCTGAACCAGATCTACCACATCGCCGTCAAACAGGCAAACCTCGCTCACGGAGTGTCTCTGGCGTAGGGCCGGCCTGGGCGCCATCAAAAGGGGAGCGCCGCCGCTTCGCTCTCTTCAATTTTTTAATGCGAAAGGATTAAGTGTCCCATGGAGCAAACCGGCGTAATCAGCTTCTGAAGCCGCGTTAAACGGCACCTAAATTCCCCTGTCCGATGGTGCGAAGCCTGTAGTCTGTATTTTCTGCTCCGATTTATTTGAACACGGCGCCCGACACGACGCTATGCGGAGCCATAAGTTCGTCTGCTTCTTGCACGGGAGTTGCGATGATGTCAGAACGCCGAGCTCTAATTGGCTGATTGAACAAAAATAGTGGGTAGATCTCAATGAAAACCAATCAGAGCTCGGAGTCGTTCTGACGTCGCCGCAACTCCTGCGCAAGCAGACGACTTGCTCTCCGTATATGCTCGATCGCCGTTCGTTTTTGTAATGCGGTTCTCGTCTGACAAAACGCTCGTGTTGGGCCACTACTTACGTGTTTATTGACAACGTGATGTCGTACCTAGAATATAGGGGCGTATAAAAGGGGGGGGGGGGGGCACGGCCGTACTTTGTTCAGGGCTCTTGAGGGTTCAAGGCCGGCCCTGCTGCTCCGGAGTACGTACTTGCGCGTAACTCGCTATAACAATCTGGAGACTGGGAGATTAAATTGAAAGCAAGGTCGTGTAGTTTGCATTTGCGATGTATGCCCCCGAGATATGACAAGAAAAATTCTCCTGCACTTTCTATAAAATATATTTTTGTCCTTGACATCTCTTTTTAGTTCAGTATTTGTCATACTTTTTTTTTTGTCTGTTTTATATATTTACGAGTGAAAGGAATACGACGGGCGTTATTGCGACGGAATTTCCGGCGCTCAGTTCTGAAGAAAACTTATACTTTTGAGTTACTGCAGGAAGAGGCCAGAGACTTTAGAGCACTGCAGAAAACTGAACGTTCTTCGTGAAGTAGGATGCAGTAGGCGGGCGTGAAAATTCCACAATGCAGACAGTAATGAATGCGTACATGGCGAGGCTTTTGAGCGGCAATTGTTCAGTTGATTTCCCCTTTCTCGTTCCTAGCAAGTCAAATACCGACTGCCCGCTCCTTACCCGTCTGACTGCAAGGACTACCTCTACGGGGGACCTCGAGATGCATTTTATGGTTTTCCATCAAAGGAGGTGAGTCGTGACGGCCGCCCCAGCTGATGACCTTCCAGACTTTAGTGATTAAATATGCAAGTGTCAAAGGTACAGAGCGCGACCGCGAACAAACAATCGCCGGTTTTCTTTTTACGGCTAGAAGTCTACCAACAAAATTACTACTGCAGTGGAATGCACATACGTGTGGGAGTTTTTCAGTTGAAAAAAGGTGCAGTTTTTTGGCAGTGAAATATGAGAAAAATTAGGAAAAGCGTCACGCATCTGCGGGGTGGCCACGGTGTGGTCCCGACTGAAGCCTGGTTGCTTCACATCGCTCTTGCAGGAAACAGGTGCTCAACTGCGAAATCGCACCATGTGAATCGGGCATAACCGTGTTGAACGGCCGCGGAGTACCTGTCGTCCTCAATCCCAAACACAAATAATCAGCCTGTGGACGGTCTTCACGTTGACTATCTATATCAGGTTAAACTGTCATAATAATTGGATTTCGGGTATGTCTGGACAGTTCAATGCTAGTCCGCCTCAAGAGGCTTCTTTATGTCTCCCCTAGATAAACGAACAATCCCGCCAGTGCAGCATACGACTACTAATCTTGGTGTGCATCACGCAATAGTGAGTTTACTAACACACGCGGGTATGATTTTAATTCAGCTCAAACCGGGAGGGGTGGGGATTGAGCCCAGGAGGGTTCCGCTGCACGAACTTTCGCTCCACGTGCTTCGAGCTTTGGTGAATTAATACACTTCGCCACCGATCCCCCGATTTGACTCTCCATTTTTTTTTCTTCTTTTTTTCATCAAAGGAAATAACATTCAAGTAGTTTTATAAATGCTGTACAAATCTCTGGTAGAAGACAAGGTTAATAAACAGGAGAGCTGGTTCACGTTACTCATCATTCTATCCGGAGACGACGGACAACAAGGGGACAAAGGACAAACACACACGTCTCAAGAAACGTGTGTGTCGTCTGTTGTCTCCGGTTACAATCATGTGTAACAAATTTATGAGCAGTTTTACTCTCCGTGACAAAGTGCGGTTAGCCCCGCTGAGTTCGAGGGCCCGAGTGACTGAACGAAGGTGAACCTCGCATCGCGTATACTGTCGCGTATTTTAGGACGTTGATTGCGTCGTCGTATCGCTATAGTTTGTCCCTATAGACAAAACTAACGGTTCCCGTGTTTTGTTCTATCCAGTCATGTACCCAAGAGTGCATCATGCAAGAAGAAATGAACCACTGTGCGTGCGTTCTTACGGATCACGAGTATTCAGTGACCTTTGCGGGACCTCTGTGTTCTATGATTGAAGGCGGTATGTTTGTACCGCGAACTTTTTGAAACTTCTTAATTTACCCTGATCAATAAGATAGGCTACCCTAAAGGGGCTGTGCAACGGCATTGGGTAGGAATATCTCTTACTTTACACCAGCTTCCTGGCCCTAGTGGGACCCAAGAATACTCGAACGCAACACCACTGACCAAGAAGCGTCTTCATCGCGGCAGAATTCAAAGGATGAAAGCAGAGCTTTTCTTTCAGTCTCTCCTTCCAAAGCCGCCTTTTGCTCCTTTGCCAAATTTGATGATGGAGCTGTGGGGGCAATGGCAACAGTACAATCCCCGTGAATGCGTCATCGAGCTTTGCGGTAACGATATTTAAATGCTGCTCACACAGCGAACGCGAAGACTGCGTACGCATTCAATCTGGGTTCGTGACAATCGATGCCTCGACATGCATTCGGGCGGTGACCCGTGTCCAATCGCTTCAACGGCGACAATAGCCGAGCTATAACAATGTCTGGAACTCAGCGCGTGTCCTGTGCTTTGCCAACCCCAGCGCGTGGCTATGATCAACATTGGCGGCATACAATCGGCTCCAGATCACGTGGCAGCTTGTTCTAAATGCGAGTTGAGGGGGTAAACGGTGCTCGTTTTTCTTTATGTTTTTGTTTCTGAATTTCTATTGCGTGGGGTGAAAAACGAACGCGTGTTTCATAGGTCATTAACGTCAGGGATTCGTTTTAAGCGATATTTGCGCAAAGTACAAGAATTGTTGCATCGCCCCTTTAAAGTACTTGTGGATGTCATATTAGCCTAAAAACATTTCTTTATGTTGTTACATTACCGTGTTACGTAAAAAAACCAACAACACAGGTTGTATAAGAAAGTTGATAACATTATGTCACAAGTATTGAGGATGAGTCAAGCAGCTGGGATCGGCCATTTCGATGTGAATTTTGCTTGTGAAACCAATAATCCAACTGCCCGATCATACGCCAGTACTAAACAGGCACCTATTATTATTATTATTAATTTGATGATGATGATGACGGTTAGGCAGAAAAATGTCTAGAGTGCATAATGCAAAGCACAACTTCATCAAGCTTTACACTTCAAAAAAAAGTAAACATGCACCTTGGGTGAAATTATAGCATACCTCAAGAAAAATTTAACATAGGTACTGACGCACTAAAAAATTATTCTTAGTAGCATTATGACTGTAGAACATAGTAAAACTAACTAGCTGCAAGAAAGTAATTTCAGCTAAGTTTTGAATTTAGGGTGATTTCAGATAAGATCGAACAGGGGGTGGCTGGTCGACCTTTTAAATTTGCTTCATAATTTTATATGTTATTTCCCGATGTCTAAAATAAACACAATCAGAAGTATTTTCACCAAGAAAAAAAATTGTCGGACGCAAAAAATCGTACATTACGTAGAGGTGGAATGTCGCATTCGCTCGCATAGCCGGAGGGGGCAACTTTGGTGATTAATAACTAGAGTTATACTTCTTAGTTGAGTTTCATAATGTTTTAGCGCAATCTATATGTACTTAGCAATACGAAAAAAGATATTGTTATTCTTTAGTATGTTTTAAAAAATAAATAAAAAACATCAATTTCGGCTTTTTGACCGGTTTTTCTCCAACTTTGCAGGCGTGTATCTTAGGAAATAATTTAGCCAGAAACGTCGTATTTTAAGTAAATGCAGTACTTATCAATGGAAGTAGATTCACTAAAATTCAAATTTATTTAAGCGCGGGTTGGGGAGATTTTGGCAAGCAAACACGAGACAAGCACCAAAATAAAAATATTTTAAGGGCAATTAAAAAAAAAAAAAATCCCGTTCTCGATTTTTTTAAAGCTCTGACCCATTCTACTCTATTTGGGGGTTAATATCAATTAAAACATGTTGCATTATATTGATGGTGTAATAGATACAGCACCTCTACCGAGCCCCTTCCGCGAAGCTCGGCACGGTGTACCCCTGTGGTGCGACGCAGTTATTGCGACCTCTTACCTTGAGAGAAAAGTATTTTTTTATTCATTTGAGTATAGAAATTAATAGTTTGTCACATCTTTGGCACATTATAATAAATTTATCATTAAATATAATAAATTACACATCATATACAACACAGTTCTGCCTTCATAGGTTTCAAAATTGACAGATTTTGACGCAAACATTTTCTGACGGTGTGCACTTAGAGTTTCTTCCAAGGGGACCCGACAGTCCGTGCCACTTCCACGTCACAGGTCGAAGCTTCTGATGTTTTGCATAGCCACACAGGCAACGACTGAATACCAGGAAAGGCGCGCATTCCCACCCACTCTTCATTTTGGCGTTCACGGAATTCAACAGCCTCGTCTTCGTCCAAAATTGTGAAATTCACTCCTTTTAGTTTTTGGGAAAGACTGCTCACCATGCATTTTGCAGACTGTATGGCCTTTCCTGGGAGCTGTCTCAAGTTGTGAAGCCTTGCTTGGTGTTTGACGAGTCCTCCAAGTCCGTCACACGCGTTTTTTTCCGTGCCCAGTGGCCATTGGGCCTTGGGAAAACATTTTTTTTTTTGGAATTCATGAAGTTGGAAGCGATTCTTGAAGTGACTGGCGGCAGCGTCACTTAC